TTACCGAGAATCTCAATGGATAGCAACCCCACTCCTTGTCGGGACGAGCTCTGCCAGAAACAACCACCAGCTCCTCTTCCCCTCTCCCGGTTTTAAGGATTTGAAAAGGCAAAGCAGGAAAACAACCACTTTCTGAAACTCTGTGCATTGTGAAGGATCTTTTTGTGCTGGTGCAGGCAAAGCTGTCTTACCTGGGTCTGGACAGCTACCACTATCTCCACTCCATACTCACTCATGTATGGACTTAAGCCCTCCACAACTGTCCAACACCCCACACGGATATGGCATGACTCTGTGGGGTCTTTTGGAAGTTAGGGCAAGTACACCCATAAAACCCCCACAACTTTATGTGAGTATTCATTACCATGACCACGGTTGCTTTACTGGCATGCAGTGGAGCTTATGGAAGGCTGAACATAGTCCTGGACAACTGGGTCCAGGTAGCCCTGCCTGAGCAGGAGTTGGACCAGAAGACTTCCAGAGGTCCCTTCACACCTCAACCATTCTGTGAAGCCATTCTCCCTTTCTATTTATTTAGCTGTAAAAAAACTCCAATCACCAGCAGCAGCCTGTTAGAAATAAAATCAATGATCTTTTCTGAATTTAAATGAAAAAAAAGAAGAAAAAAAAAAAAAAAGGTTGTACTTGGCTTGCCTAAATGAAATGAAATGTTTTACATACCAAAAAGAGTCAAGCTTGATGTTTAGTACCAGCAAATATTATCTGAGGACTCAGAATACTGTTCAGAGCACCGCCAGCATGGGTCGTATCTGCCCCTCAAAATTAAGAGTTTGTTTTCCTTCCGCCAGCCTGTGATCACTTCATTCAGCTACATGAATTAATTCTTGCACTTTTTTCTTTATTACAAAGACATATATTCAAGTCTCGGCTCTTCCATCAATAGAGCTTTTCTTGATTACTGTCAACGTTTCATTCCACTGTGTCATCTTGTTTGTCTTTTGATGTTATAATTTCCTTATTTTACAATGTTTTAACTACATTGGCTGCAACTGTTAAAAGAACTGGTGATCTGGGGGGGTCACCTAGAAAGGCTTTAAAAGGATTTGATTAGGCAATTCATTTTACTAATGTTACAGTAACTTCTTTTTATTTGATTATGTAAATGAGTGTTGGTGCATATCTACTTTGGCAAAACACTGCAAAGTTAAAACTCTCTCCAAAATAAAAAGATTTTGCTGGCAGAAACACATGAGCCAAGGAATGTATCTTACCCAAACGCTATGGTGCTCCCCATGAGGCACCCCAAAATATTCACATTCAGGAAAACAAAAGCCATGTTTACTTGGGTAAATTTACCACAGTGCCTTTCCTGGGGTAATGTTCGGTCCACTATCCTGAAATCAAAGTAATTTAATTCCTGAGCAGAAAGAGAGGGACACAGATCCATGGATCAGTTCTCTCCCGCCCTCACTTTCAGCTATTCCCATCCAGCAGCTGCTCCAGTAGGATGGCTTCCCAAGGGGTTGTGAAGTCCCTGCTCCAAGACTCGAAGACTTTAAGTGAAATACAACTGTGGTTAGCAGTAACATGATACAACCTGACATTGAAACGTCCATCCCATTGTCTGTGTCAAATTATAAACTGACCTCCAATCTCCTAACCGGTAGGACTCCCACCCCTACTCCATTTTATGTGATGATCTTTAATGTACAGACTGCTTTTAAAGTCTTCACCTTCCTCCACTCCACATTTGGTAAAGTCTCAGATAGGAAATGGATCTCTCTCCTGCGAGACAGAAGAGAAGTCTTCTGGTTTAACTCCATTAAGAAAGTGGAGTAAGACTGAGGCAGAAGATGACCTCAGGTCTAGCAGAGGTCCTTAACAAGGTCTGAAAGTGAAGAGGGTAGGAGATAGCTTTTTTTAGCTTAGACTAAAGGCAGGAGACTGACAGAGGGCTCCTCCAGGCCAGTGAGGAGACAGAGCCACAGCTGAGGACCTTACCTGTGCGATGCTCCAGAGCTGGAAACCAGAGAGAGCTGTGAGCTGGAGAAGGAGCAGAGGGGATTGATGCTGCACAACCCTGCCAGGTAAAGGCAAATGACAGAGGGAGAGTGGAGGACCTTTATCTGATGGGGCAGAATGCCTTATTCTTGTTGGAAAAATATGGGAAGGGTTACAAGGTGAGTAGTGTTGGACAGATAAGCTCAACAGGAGCTCCAGGTCTGATGGAAGATGTCTGACCTGGGAGATACGTCTCTCAACACTGCATGAGAGGCTTTTTAGGATTATACATACCACACAGGACAACTGTGTTAAATGGGACATTTCAGAGGACGATTCCCATTCCCTTTGGTGTGATGACAACCTGTTGCAGGAAGACATTTAACTATGACAGTAGCATGCACCCAAATCCTTGAGATGTGGATGAAAGACCCCGAGGATAGGACTATCACAGTACCACACCTCTTGCCACAAGGACAGAGGATGGATTCATTATTCCTTACTTTTTCTGTATGGTCGTTGTTCTCATGCCCACAACATTTAAAGTGCATTCTTTCCTTTTTGTAAATGGATAAGACATGAATGAATTACGGCAAACATTTTAATTACTTAATGATGCTCTAATCAAAAGCTTTAGAACTCTATCTGGAAATACAAGTTGTCTTTTCAGTTTGATGGCCATTTATTTCTCTCTAGTGATTTTCAAGCGAAATGCAAGCAAGAGACTGTGACATAATCTGAAGTAGGCACTGCTCACAAACTGGGCTTGCTTGTAAATCCCAGTATGGTGAATTGCATGAAAAGCAAACTCTTTTTGGGAAAGCTGGCTCATGAGATGTGACCAAGAGGCAGTTATTCCTGAACTTACTTCTCAGTGCAAACACAGATGAAAGATGCGGTTCCAAGCAGAAAAGTGAATGTTCATTCTGCAAAAGGTTTATTTTAAAACGTCTCCTTGCATTGCTCTGATTGCTCTCACTGTCATTTATTGAAATACCAAGGGCAATGCTGCCAGTATTTGAGTGTGGGCTACTTCAGTACTGCAATTCTCAGGAAACGAGTGAAATAATAAAAACTCTCACATTAAATAGTAATGTTCCCGCATCTAGTTGCATTTCATAAATTTATTACAGATTACCTTAATGCAGGCTTATGCCATTGTTCTTATAAACACACTGTAGGAATTATTCAATTGTTCCTCTGTATATGTCTTACGGTTGTCCATATAAGATATGAATACAAGTAATATAAACAAAAACATATGAGCAAATTGATAGTTCAGCAGTAGTCGCATAAAGCTGTACTATTACAAACTGTCCTCATATTACATAGAACCAACCTGGAAATAGTTAGCTTCCATTTAAATCATCGTCCAAAATCTCTGATGAGAACTTTTAAAACATCAGTGATCTTAATTTAGTGGCATTGTATACATGCATGAAATAGAAATAGCCAACTTTTACTGGCTGAAATTCTAACCCATTTAAATTAATTCTTCTGCCAAAGACTTCAGAGTAGCTGGGAGTTCATTAAGTGGAGTATAAACGTTATGCCCACTATGACCCATTTTGAATAGAAATGTAAAATTAAGACTTATTCACACCCCTATTAAAGCATTGGTCTGTTTTCTAAATAACATTTAAGGTTTCTTTTATAGAATACCTTTTACATTATTTACATAGGATGAATACAGAGAAGTTCAGCTGGAGGATTTTCAGTGCTGGCAAGTATACTGTAGATGCCGACTGGTTGCTATCCAAGCCCCTGTTTACCTGAGTAAAATGACCTCTGTAACATCCACTCTTCCACAACAGCAACACAGATATCAGAGATTGGGAGTTAATGCTTTTTTAAAGAATTCCGCTCCTGAACAGTATTTTTCTTTTAAACTGCAGTACTCTCCCCTAAAGGAGCAAAAAGTTGGTAAACGAATGTTGAATCTATGAAAATTTTAGTAATGTATCATTTCCCTAAGCGCTAAAGAGCAACGTCAGTGCTATTGCACTGCGTCTGTACAGAGCTGATGATCTGCATGGTTAGATCCCAACCCACAGCAGAAATGTGATTACAGGTCTCTGGCTGTTGTGAGCTCTCAAACAAAGTACTGCTGAATTTTCCAAGCCTTAAAAATATCCTGCAGTAAACTAAATTTCATCTGCAAGGTTAGGTCTCATTAACAACCTCACAAATCCAGACAGATATGAATCTCCAACTTGTCAAACGAATAACTGCGTCTCACAGAGCAAGGTCAAACACTGTTCCAGCTTTTAAATTAATATTGTATAGGCTGTGTCTTCCTTGAACCTGATTTTATATTCTACAGAAATACGCTACCTATGGCTTTTAGGAAATCTGATAATCAAACATGAAAGTTCAGTAACAGCTTTATGTATTTTAGATTACTTTCCTACAGAGATTGGAGATTTTCCTGTTACATTGACAACTACGTCTACTTTCTGGAATTATTACACATTAACAAAAGTCTCTGTGTATTGTTTCATGTGCTCCTTATGATTTATGATTCATGAATGAAAAAGCGTAGCGGAGTATTTCCAAAACAATAGAAATCTCACATCAACATTTTTGGATGCTGTAAATAATTTGCTATGTAAATTAGACTTATGCTGATCAGGATTCAGGAAAGTGTCTTATTTCACTTAGATGTACCTTTCATTAATGTACTTCTTTAAAACCTTGTTGCTTACATAGAGTTAGGTATTTATTCAAGGATCGGCAATAAATTTCCCAGTTTTCATCATCGCTATTATTTTTCTTAAGCTCCCACCTGTAACATCACCAATTACCTTAAAGCCAAAGGAAAAAGAAGACTAGAAAAATATAAGCTACAAGTAGACATGAGAACTCAAATCCCACACGAAGCAAAAAAAAATAATAAACAGCGGGCTGCATAAACCAGCAGCAGCCATACGCTTTCAACCGTATCTTGCCGTAGAAGAGCTAAAATGCATTCAGAACCAAATGCATTTGTAAATAAACAAGCTGCTCCTGGGCACAAACACGTATAGTGGCCGACGTACCTGCAGAGACACGGGGGCAATCCGGCAGCATGGACTCCACCGAAGTGTCCAGGGGCTCAGAGCTGGACACCCAGTTACAGCACTTCTGTAAGAGCAATTTTGGGGTAAGCCAAAAACTCAGAGCAAAAATAAATACAGACTTTGCAAACAAGGACAACGATCTCATCAAAATACCCACGCTGATTTACACAGCAGTCCCAACAGGGACTGGAATGTATACCACACTGGCTTATTCACACTGGCTGGTGATGAAATATCATACTTTCATACTAAGTAAGTAAAAGGAGTAAGACCATAATTCAGGAGATTTGTAATGTGCTTAAACAGCACATCTTTAAGTGCTACTTTGAGTGCCAGTGGACTTCAGTAGGTGTTTGGACCAACTGGTGCCTGAATTACCCACCGCACATTTTAAGCTTTTCCCTTCTGTAGTTGTTAAATTGATGTTGATATAAACACTGAGCCTGCTCGTTTGCCAACATTAAGAAACCAGAATTTTTCAGGGTGTTTTGATGGAGTACACTGTGGAAAGAATGGTTGTGAAATCACAAAACAACAGATTATAAATGAATGAAAGCCATCATGATAGCAGATTAATATTCAAATCATTGGAAATAAAGCTGAGATGAATTGCTTGTGAACATTTAAAAATGCAAATACCGGTCTTTGGGGAATGATGCTCAGGAAGCATTCACATTTACCTTTCATTCCTGAACCTCTGAGTAGGATGAATTTACCATGAATTTTTAAAATGTTTTGCTCCAAATGCTATCTATTCATAGGAGTCTATGAATTAAAGTATTTAATAATACACTTTTAATAAAATATGCTGAAACTATACCAAATCTACTGAATTGAAGATTTAATTATAAAGCAACTACATTTTTAATAGGATTGCCAGCTGAACTACAAGATCTATATGGCTTCCCTTATTAAAAATCTGAGTTTTCCCTTTCTGAAAACCTGATTAACTTCATTAAGGGGGAAACAAAAAAAACCCACACAACTTTTTGGAAAGACCCAATGAATTTTCAGACAGATTTCTAAAAAATCATCCCATCAATCATGATTGTAAAAATGGACGATTGCTATTCTGGTAAACAAGCATGTATTGTGCATTTGTAGATGCTTGCTGCCCTAGTTGTGCACCATGGAGTCCGTCCTCACTGTGGAAAGATCCTTGACTGGTAGATCAAGTGTCTTATTGTATTTCCTTAATTCATTCTGTCTGGAAGAAGATGTCAGCTGTGTTGCAGTGAGGAGAGAATTTCAAAGGCTTCAGTCCCCACCAATAAAGGGCGAGGAATGGCTTTTGAATAGATTTGTCAAGGCAACCCTACTGTTCTGGGACCAGGGAGAGCAGGAACAACATAAAGGAAGGGTTGCTGTATGAGATTAGAAAGTGAAGTTCACAAAGCATGGCAGATTTTTGTAAGAAACAGTAGATCAATGAAACTATTGAACTCGATGGAAAAAAAAAAAAAAAAAAAAGAAAACAAACACACTACCCAGTAATGTTACTTTTTTTAGTAAAAAATGGTTAAAATGGAAGTATTTCACAGAGGCTTTAAGGTTTAAAGTAGTAAAGCACTATACATTTTACAATTTGCATGTATAATTTTAATTAACAGCTGAATGTGAAATTGCAAATGTAAGATGGTAGAAATTATAAAAGAAGTAGAATTTTTATGAAGTATTACATTCATTTGAAATAAGTAAAATTAATATTAACTACTGATAGAACACTACATCAGAGAGCTGGAGATAATACAGAAGATTAGCACACAATTAACCAGCTTTTATATACAATGTGACACTTGCCTGTAAGAAATAAGTATTCTCGAAAGCAGTGTCAAGATATGTAAATGGATGATTTGTTTTATCATTCATCACAGCTCCTAATAAATTCAAAAATCATGACTTCTATAGGTACTAAAAATAGGCCACCAATGATACAGGAGAGATAGCTCCAATGAAGAATTACTTTTTTAACAATTCATTCTTTCAATGACAGCAATTAGCCCTACAGACAGGCAGCGATTAGGTGTATATTTTAATTATTATTCATTTTACCAGTAGCCTTAAACCTGATTAAAGTAAGAGATATCCAGGTGATATGCTAGTCTTAATACCACTCAGCCACACTTCACATATGTAAAATTCTTCTTTCTTATAGGAGATTTTCAATGCTAATGTAAGTTATGACACTCCATCCACTTTTTAGGCCATTAATCATTTAACTTATTCTTTAAGATCTACTTTCTGCAAATGAAATTAAAGGTAATGCACTTGTCTTATTCAGACTAAATGCTTAAAGAAAAATGGAGTTGTCAGATTCAAATTAGAGGATTTAAAATTTCAGTTTTACTACATAACATATATTTTAAGGTTTTGATTTCCCATAAAGAAAATGGGGATTTTTCTGACAGAGCCTGTAGGGGTTACCATTCTTTATATTTTTAACATTTAAGTCAGAGCTGTCAGGCTGCATCCCAGGTGATTCTCTATTCCCATCAGTCACGGCCTATAAAACAGTAAGGTTAAGTCAGGAATAGGCAGTCTATAAACAGAGTTTCACTAAATCCATGGGAAGAATTCAGGTCTTAACAAAAAGTCCAGCATGCGACTAGTTTAAATTTGTCACGTGCACCTATTGTTTTAGGGTCCCGCAACGGGAATGTAGAAACACAGACACGAGTCTGATCTGGTGAGGAAGAGAGACTTTTGAATAGAAGTTTAGTTGGTCTCACTTAAAAAATATGGTTTTAAAAATCTCAGCAACCCCATACTTCACTATTAAATGAATAATGAATGCATGGCACCATCCTTCGCCCAAGGGTGGAACTTGGTGCTTGCTGGCCATCAAATAACACCGGATCATCCCGGTCCAACTAGCTGTTGGTAGGTGTACAGTGGCAAATACCCTGACATTCCATCAGGAAACCTCGGAGCACCTTGGAAGTAATTACATCTCATGAAACTACTGTTTTTTTTTGCCAGTTGTGCGAATCATCAAACTGAGTCACGAAGAGCTTAAAGGGGTTTTTCCACCATCACCAGATCAAGCCAGGAGCGCTGGGTGCACCCAGGGCTTTGCTCCAGATAACAGGCAGTGCGTGGGCTGCCTTGGTGTATGCCTCTATATCGCTGGGCAGCAGGAAGGAACACTGGACTCAATTCTTATTATTTTGACTGCTAACTTTGAAGTTCAGAAAAGTCTTTAATCTCGGTTATTTTAGGGGTTGGTGTAGGCACACAATTTCCATGGCCCTGTAATGTGCTGTCTTTCATACCCTAAAGAAATAGAAGAGGTCAGCAGATAAAGTCATGTTTATAGAGCCATATGCAGACGTATATATCCCAACTCTTTAAAAAAAACCCGGCCTCACCTCTCGCATCCACTCTCGAATAGTTTTCCCAACTTCTTGATGCCACACATTGTGAACAGAGTCTGTCAACGCCACAGCAGTTACCTTATTCTTTACTTCTGCCTCTCGTTGAATCATCTGTTAAAAAATATTGGCTTTAAGTTCTTTCTTTCTATTGAATAGAGTCTGCTTAGTCACAGATAATGATCTTAAATTAAAAAAGAAAGAGCAATACAGGTTCAATACTTGACTTCACTTGTTTTAAAGTTTATACAAATCCTAACAGCTCCAGAAACACAGAAAGACCTAATATTTTTGATAAAAGAAATAATACTAACTTTTAACTGACTGAACTATTCAGTCCTATTATTTTCCATGTGGCTTGACAATTCTAGGATTAAAGGTATCATAGTGAAAAAATGGAAGATTCCCTGAGGACACCTTTTACAAGCTTCTCCAAGTTCCTATTTCTGTGCTTCAGGGAAGCTGGTACCCGTGGTTCACTGTAAGCTACTCATGACTATCATCTACTAATTTTCAGTAGATTGCTGTAGTTTTTCTGATGTACAATCTTACTTTGACTTGTATGGGTTTTTTCTTTTTCTATCCAATTTAGCTACCTTGCACTCCCACCATGGTCCCAAAATTCTTTGTGGTCTCTCTTATACATATGCTTACCCAGTTAACACCAGAGCCTCTCAACATTTTTAGGATATTAAAGAGGCTCTGTTGTTGTAAATGACAATATGACTAAATAATATTAGTTTTAAAACCAATTAAATGATTGCTGCAAATAACACAAGTGAACTGACAAAGATGCTGTGGAATTCAGCGCTGCTCTGCAAGATAAAAGAGACTGGGAAAGAATAGTTTGATATCAAAGAGAGACAAAAAGGTTTTAATCTCCTGACACGAGTGACCCTAATTTGTAACACTGGATCAAAGAACGTATAATGAATTATACTTATAAAACCAGCATTTCACAACTAGTGTCTTTATCACCGTGTACACCACACTAAAGTTAATGTTTCTTTTTCAGCATCCCATTGTATAAACGGCAACACATACAACATTTCTAAAACCAGGCATTCTTTGTTCGTGCTCTAGTAACTGCTTATCAGCATACAGGCTGCACCTCTGAAGACACTGCTCTAAAAGACTTTTACAATGGGGATGTGAATTGTATTTTGCATCAGAAACTTCAAAATAAACTCCTCAATCCAGATTTCGATACAAAAGTATCATTTATCCATACCTTATGCAAACAATCTCCTAGTTTCTTCAAAATGTCACACAAGTAAACCCATTAGACCAAACACTCTTACCTCCAATTCCACATAACCACAGTATGACAGTCTGAATTATCGTGTCTTGCTTTTTTTTTTTTTTCCTGGCTTATATTAGTATATTTTAAAATCAGTGTAATCAAATTAATATTCTAAGGGAAAAATGTTCACCGCTATTGACTGGGGAGTGTCAACACAGAGCTCCCCCTTCCAGATAAAATCAGGTGTCCACCTTCCCCAGTACTCTGTCTTTGGTCATGTCAGAATTACATGACTCAGGAATTCAGATGAGCTTAGGACATCTTGGGTAAGTGTGTATGAAGAGACTCTTGACAGTAATCTTTCTTTATGTGAGGCCTTTCCATACATACCATATTTTCCATCATTTACTGTCCTGTGAAGCACATCCGATATCTAGAATTTTTGGAGGATGGGACATAACAGGTACGTGTGTGGGGGACAAAATCACACATTTAGGACAAAATACCACCTACTGTAAGAGGCTGAGGTTCATTCAGCTGTAACACAAAACTGGCATTTTCAGCCAAACATCTGATACTGAGCACTAAATTTCACTGTAAATATAAAGATGGCAAAACTCCCTCTATTATGACAGCGTATGTAAGAATAGTGAATTTCTCAAGACAATCTTCAGGCCAGTGCAAGAACCACTTAGATTCCGCTAAGCTGTGGAAGAAACTCCTGAGCTCCAGAGGAAGGGGATGCCTCAAAACAAGAGGCTTTTATTGATGCTACAAACCTGTATGGACATCTCGAGCACCGATAAATGCTTTGTCTCTCAAAGAGCTGAGCCACTCAGACCTTCGACCAGTGTGGTTCAGCAGAACTTGGACTCATTGTGAGTGACTCATCTGTAATATTCTATTCTATTCTATTCTATTCTATTCTATTCTATTCTATTCTATTCTATTCTATTCTATTCTATTCTATTCTATTCTATTCTATTCTATTCTATTCTATTCTATTCTATTCTATTCTATTCTATTCTATTCTATTCTATTCTATTCTATTCTAATTCTATTCTATTCTATTCCTCCTCTCCTCTCCTCTCCTCTCCTCTCCTCTCCTCTCCTCTCCTCTCCTCTCCTCTCCTCTCCTCTCCTCTCCTCTCCTCTCCTCTCCTCTCCTCTCCTCTCCTCTCCTCTCCTCTCCTCTCCTCTCCTCTCCTCTCCTCTCCTCTCCTCTCCTCTCCTCTCCTCTCCTCTCCTCTCCTCTCCTCTCCTCTCCTCTCCTCTCCTCTCCTCTCCTCTCCTCTCCTCTCCTCTCCTCTCCTCTCCTCTCCTCTCCTCTCCTCTCCTCTCCTCTCCTCTCCCTCTTCTTTACAATTACAGCATGTCCCAAATGTGGTTCAGATCTACCAGACATCTGAATATATTGCTTTTTAGACTTCAGCTTTACCATCCCCTTTATCAGGCAGAGCTATGTGCATGAGATGATCGTGGAAGAGATGACCCTTTGATTGCAGGGGAAAACCAGGCTGCTTTTGGGAGAGCTGTGGATAGTCCTTTCTCTAACCAGCCATCAAACCAATCCAACTGCTTTACCTTGACATAACAGGTAAGGTAGCATCACCCTCCTTCCCTAAACAGGACAGCATCTGCAGAAGGACCTTCTTCTGAAAGGCTGCGGGTCCTGCTAGGAGTTGTCAGGAGCCTGTGTTTAGGCTTCTCCTCAACTCAGACCACAGGCAGTGTGGTTAGGGGACCAGATCCTCTGCTCCATGCACTCGCCATAAGAGTGGCTCAGAAATCCTACCAGAAAAAAAGGCCTCTGAAAAAGACAGCATCTAAAAACGAGGCCTGTAAGCCACACATCCCCCAACCTCCACTAAACACTGCTGTATACTGAGTAAGTTTTAGAAACCCACCATACGCACTAATATTCCTGTACCAGTGCTGTGCATTCCAGCACTCATTTGGCTGCACCGTCTTGCACAAAATGCTGTGATTTAAGCGGGCAAAGGAGCAAAAATATCATTGTCCTTGAAGCGCACGTACCTACCAATTACTCGGAGTTATTACATGCTGGGGGAAGCTTAAAATCGTCACCAGCTCGTTGTGCTCCAGCATGACTTCCTCCATAAAGGGCTGGTCTTCAGAAGCACTGCTAATGACCAGCAAGGGGAAAAAATACGCTCTGCTTTGGAAAAGCAGTCTTTTCTCAAGCTATTGTGTCCCACATTTCTGTTTCGGAAACTAGCCACCCAGTTCATCTAAGAACAGCAGCTTTTTCTTCAAATCACAAGGAAATACAGACGTGCAGTTCCCATCTCCCTTTCCAGACCTAGCTCAGGTTTGCTATTCTCAATTTCCCTATGCACGTGGAAGAACTGGCAGCCATCGATCTCTTCCTACTCTTTCTTCACACGGTACACGCAGTCTTTGCTTTTCAGCTCACAGATGATATGGGGAATAATATGCAATACCCGACATGCTGCTGGTGCTTGCTGCCCCAGCTTTGTGGATGCTTGCAGAATGGTATTCTGCTCACAAAGATCAGCAAAAAGACTGAGGCTGACAATGTGAGGTTTTTTGATAACTCAGCCACAGTGCTGGGGTCAGGACAAGGGCTCATGGCTGCAGCAGCAAAGAGGGATCGAAGGGATTAACTGAGCTTCAGCTACAGATTTCTCTACATCCAGCCCAGAAGAAATAAGTTTTGGTAGGCCCTTATGAGCCAACTTGGAAAGAAAACAGACAAAAAAAAATACATCAAGTGGGGAAAGGATCAAGGGTATAACCTTCACTTAAACAAGAAGTCTGTGTCCATTTTTAAGTGACACAGAAATGTCACAACAGAGCATGTCAAACCCAGGACATTTAGCTTCTACCATAACAGCTCACGTTCTCTGCTACAACAGGACATTCACTGATAATAATAACCAAGGAGCACAGATCCAGGTGATGCTCAAGCAGCAGATCCTCTCACTGGGGATGATAATTTATCCTGCCAGGAGGTACAAGAAGCCTAGGTGCTTTTGGCCACAGAAGTTTCAATATGCAGTAAATGCTTCAGATTCAATGGGTTGATAGCTCACAGTTAAAACATATTTATATTTTCTACAAATAGTTTTGACTTCACATAAATTTTTAAAATTAGGGGAGCAGAATAGAATTGTTAGCATAAAATATACTAACATTCAACACAAAGGTATCATCCAGATGCCATTCAAATTTGATATAACTACAGAGTTGTACCACATTCCAAGGGAAGGATGCTATGGCATACACGATTTATACTTCCCAGGACTAGTTTTATTGTGTGAAGTCAGTACAGTCTTTTAAAGTGGACGTGTTAAAACTGAATATATTTAATAGACCACAAACTACTTATAACACTATAATTTCCGCCCCCCCCCCCCCCTCAGGATAACGGTGTTTTTTACTGAAGCAACAATTGTAAAAAAGGACCTAAGGTTTTTGTCTAAAATTAATTTTATGCCTTATACTCTCTGTACATCCGTAAATTCCACAGTCACGAAGTTTTCACAGACTAGGAATTAATTAATTTCCTGCTCAATGTTAATTTTCAAATCCTAAATTATTCTTAGCTATATAGATTTTGCAAGAAGTCATCTCTCTGTGTACCCCTTCATTGGATGGCTTATGGCTTCTCTCACTCTGCCCTTACATTCTTTCTTCTTTTTCCAATAATTCATTTATAGTCAGAAGTAGGTTAACTGGCACTTCCCTAGTAGGTAAATCGGTTCTCATTTATTACTGCATCACTCAATACACCACTCTGGGTCCTCCAGACTTTCCCAACCACCCTTTCTATTCAGGCACTTCCATTTTACCTTTGTGTTCCTTCTTTGTGGTCACAGTAAAGTTT